TCATTAACTAATATTACATTTTTAACTTATTTATTAAAAACTATAAAATTAACAAATATTGAATAATTCAAATAATTTATATATAAAACATATGTAAATAATATAGAAGTTATAACAATTTAATAGAAATTATGGAATTACAGGATTTATAGGAATTATAAGAATTTCTAATCGTAACAACGTTTAACTTTATAACTTTAATAATTATAATATAAATAATAATTCTTTGAAGTAACTTTTTATAAATTAATAATAAAATGATTTATTATATACAAATCTATCTTTTCAAGATTAAAACCAATACAAAATAATTTGAAATACTTTATAAATTATTTAATATATTATAAGCTAAGATATTTATCTGAATAACTAGCTAAAATATATTGTTTTTAATGATTTTATGAATGATACTTTAGTTATAATACTAATATTTTTTTTATATGATCTAAATACTAGTTTTGCTAGTATTATTATGTTAATTTTGCTGTGATCATTATGCTAATTTAGTTATAATCCATGTATTAATATTGCTAGGATTATTAAATTAATTTTGCTATAATTATTACACTTTGTTCTATTATCTAATATTAATAAATAATATTTTCTATGACTAGTATTCAATAAAATATTTGTAATAATTATCCAATAATATTGTGATATGAAGTGTTCAATAAGATATTTGTTATAATAAGAATTCATATTACAACAAGATTATGTTTCAAAGTTATTGAACAAATTTTCTTATTTTTCCTATTGATATTATGTATTGTAATTTGTAATATTACTTTGATTTGTTTTTGATACATGTATATAATGTCAATGCAAAAATAAAAGTTCAAATATTTTATATTTTAGCACTTCTAGAAAATAAATATATTAAGCTAATAAATTCTTTTATAGTTGATTATTTTAAGGATAAGCATATTCACATTCATGAAAAACAAGTTTTAAATTCTATTAATTAGATGATCTTTCTTATTTTAAAGGAATCCCCTGTTCGCGACTTGAAAGCATCGTCCAGCAGTGAAAAGAAGAAAAACCAGGTTGGTGATGTGGTTAAGTTTTATTCTATAGAATGTAAAAAACTAATATTAGCATTGCTCGGCAAATAAGGCTTGATTATTGCACGCAAATCTTTTTTATTGTAATTTTCGATATTAGTTTGCAAGAAAGATTAAACAATCAATTATCGCGATAGCTGAAAAGACAAATGTAATATGAAGATTTCTAAAAAATAGTATTTAAGTAATGGTTAGCTAGCAATAGCAATATTATTTTATTTTCGAACTATTTACAAAGGAAATATATGCAAGTGTGATGAAGAAATGGAGAATATTATACAAGTACATGTGTGTATGGGTTTATGTAAAATCTGAGACAAATTACGGGAAATGAAGTCTGGGTTTTATATGGGATACATAATAAAATTTAATATCGATATTATTATTATAGGTGATTTATGTATGGGTGCATGCATAGAAAATGGTTAATATTGTTTCAGGAAAAACAAATTATTTGCGCTTTTAAACTATAATCCTTCTCTGTGGGTGGGGGTTATTATTTGTTGCCAGGGGTTTTTTTTGTTTTTGAAAAGTAAAAAAATATTCTTTTGCACTTACATATCCTCATTAACGATACCATTATTAAGGGTATTGGGGTTAGTAGCAGCAGTAGTTATTAGTTTAGAGTTCCTCTACAGGTAGCAGCACCGCATAAACAAGGTATCTTTTCATCTTCTAATGGAAACTTTTTGTGGATAATAATAGATAAAAAAATAATTTTTTGACGAAAAAATAGATTAAAAATTATTCTTATAGCATAATATAATATATGTATATAAATGATTTTTTTGCATAGTATTATTGACTTAAACCTAACATATACAAAAACATCAATACGAGCGAGATATATATATATTTATTCGTCTACCTTATAGTCATATGTAATTTCCTCGCCCGCTTGGATATCCCGTTTTGCATATATTACAATTTTTTTCTTTCCGTCGTGTGTTATTATCTTGGCAGTACAATTAGGCTTATTATAATAAGTAAGAGATATTAGTAATTTTTCTCACTTCTAACAACTACTTGTCAAACTACTAAAATAAACAAAAATAAGGCAAATCGATTAATAATACACACCGAACAAGAATGATTTATGAATCTCGCAATATTTCCCTTCTTCGTAGCATCAATAACAGTATCATCATCAATACGAAACATATAACTACCGCGCACACCGTCCCTCGCATACCTCCGTTCCCGATGATCAGCGACAGATTGCCTAATGACTTCACCAATGTATTCGATAACCATATCATTAGCATCGATCCGTTCTTTGGTAAAGAGACCCATTGAATGAATACTAGATTTAGCGAACTTGAGTTGCTTAGTTCGGCCTTTCATTTGGTTGAAGCGCATCACGTCGTCCACATCGCCTTTGGCGGTTTCACGATTGTATTGTTGCATGTTTGCGAGGATGCCGCGGTTTTTCATGCGGTTTTCGCGTGAGGTGACAGTTGGTGGGGATATTAGGGGAAGTGAAGGAGAAGAGGAAGAAGAGTTGGTGGTCATTGATTTTTTGGTGTTGTTGATCATGTTTCGTAGTTTTTGGTCTTCGGAGATCCTTTTGAAACCTTCGGTTCGTGCACAGCCTGTGGAATTTTGACCTGGAAGCTTGCTGGAAGCAATTTCTTGTTTACGTTTTTTGTAATAGCGATCTAATGACATTTATTTATTAATACACACCAAAAATTACAATAAGCATGCATGAAAATGAAACGAGTATATTTAAATAACGCAGTTCAATTATTCAAAGATAATAATAAGAATAATAAGCATAATAAGAATTATTATTATTCTTCTTATTATTTTCTTTTAATTATTACCATTATTATTATCATCGACAATAACAATAATAATAATATATCTTTTATTTATCAAAAATATCGAATACACATCTTATTCATTTATTTTTAATAGTTTATAAATAAATTTTGACTACTTCGGCTCTTTAAAGTTTTAATCCATACCGATGGGATCATAATTGATCGCGCCAATAGAGTCATTGATATACACGGCAGGATCTTGCTCAAATTCTTTGACAACTATTTCTAAGAATGTATAATCCTCTTCGTCAAAGATTTCGTCAGGAGATGAAGTTTCTTCAGCTTCTTCTTCATCGAATTCCGAGTCCTCTGCCGATTCGTAAGCATCTTTGTTCATTGGAACTACATCGGTAAATTCAACGTCGGCTTCGTTATCAGAAACGTAATTAATTGGAACATCATTGTCGTCGTCCTCATTATTTTCATTATCACTACTTTCTGAGTGAGCTTTATCATCATCTTGACGCTCTGAATCGATTTCGTCTCTATCCTCATGATCACTTTCTGAGTTACTTTTTTCGCTCTCATCAGTAATCATCGGCGTTGGTTCGTTATTTTCTTCTGATTTGATCGATTTCACCTCTTCTGCTTTGATGGCAGGAATTATTGATTTATTTTTCGGATGAATTAAAGATTTTTTTTTAATAATATTACTACTATTACCACCGGTATGTGTAATAACTAATGTCTTTGTTTCTGTTGTTTCTTGTTTTTGTGGTTGTTCCTTCTTCTCAATACTATTGTTAATGTTATCATTATTGACTTTGATCATAGGAATAACGATCTTCTTGGTAGACGTAGCAGCGACATCGTTCTTATGTTTTAATTCAGGTTCCTCTTCGTGTTCGCTCTCGCTGCTGGTGAAATCAATATCTTTCGTAAGCCGCCTTGCTGTAGGTGCAGCTTTTGACGATTGATTCGATAGACGTCTCTTTTTTCTCTTCGGCAGACGATCTACTTTATCAATGATATCATCAGTCAAAAGTTCATTTTTATCGACATCCATTAGCTCTTCATCAGCAGGGGAATGATTTTCTTGTTCTCGTTGAGATTCATGTTTATTGAACTCCTCTAGAAAATCATTAGAATCCGAGTCATCATCCTCGCTCAAATAATCACGTAATCTTTGTTGTTGATGACGTGGTTTTTCGACTTTAAACGGCGTATGTTTGGGTTTTTCGAGTGATTCTTGTTTAGGGGGAGATTTTTGATTTTCAGGAAATAGTTCATCGTCTGTATGTATCTCTCCTTCTTCAGAGCTCGATGACGCTTCTTGTTTATTGGAACAAGTGGCCAAATCTTCGCTCTTTTCTCCTTGTCCGTCTTCGTTCTCAGAATCTGTGAACTCGAAAGCTGGTCGTTTGTGTGGAGGAGATTTTCTACTGTTAATCTTTTTGTTAGACCGGTTGTTGTCGTATTTAGAGCTTGGGTGTGGTCTTTTATTGTTATTCATGCCACCGATGGTAGTAGTAATCGAAGACTGGTTTTGATCTTTATTATAACCGGACCTTCGATCTCGGAAATCACTATCACCCATTCGAAACTTCAAATCATAATCCCGCAATCCATTCCCATTCAGCTTTGTTCCATGCAACATTGAATATTTTGATTCGAAAGGCCCGAGTTCAGAAAATTCTCTAGCTCTCATTTCTGGCTGCTGCTTTTTCTCCTCGTTCTTGGATTTTAATTTCGCCAATCGCTGTTGTTTTCGCTCTTGGATCTTTGGTGTGAGATAATCGAAAATGAATTTTCCGACCACCTTATTCTTTAAATCCTTTTGAAAAACTTCGGATAATTCGCTAATGAGTATTTTTGTGGACTGCTGCAAAATCTGAGACACGTCTGGCGGTTGATGCGGAGGACGATCTTTAGCGCGTTTATTATTAGAAGGTTCCTTATGTTCTCTTGTTCTACTACTGCGACTTCCATTTCGACTAAAACTAGGCTCTGACGGATTTCGACTTCGATTAACAGGAGGCGGCGGAGGCGGGTGTTTATAGTTGTTGTCACGAGACCAATCATCATTCACCCGTGGACGTGCAGAGTAATCAAGGTCTCTTCTATAGCGATCTCTAATGTCATTTCCGTATATATGTAAATCATCTTCCCGTGATCTAGGACGCGAAGTTGTCGGTTGATGTCGATATCGATCATGTCTTCTATCATCATCATAGTATGGATCAATTTCGCCATCCTCTTTCTCATCATCAGGATACGAGTAAGACGCTTTATAATCGTTAGCTACCGGTCTTGTTAATGGGTATCTTTTATCGGTTTGTGGCAGAGGTGGTGGCAGGGGTTCGAATGTATTAGATGTAGTTGGCAAGGGTGGTTTTTGTTTCCTAGAATAGTTATTTGATCGTGATGAATACATGTCTTGTGTTGATGATCTGCTATTATTGCTGTTTGGTTGTGCTGGAATATTGTAATGGTAAAATGAATTTGGTTCATGCTTGGTATAAGGCTTCGTGTTAATAGGAGATGAAGTCGAAGTATGGAATGGTCGCTCAGATGGTCCTTTCTGCGGATAGAATCTGTTTGGTGTCATCGGCAGGCTATTAGGGTATAAAACAGGGGGTGGTCCGTTCATTCTTTGGATGGGAGGCACAGTAGAAGAAGGTATTATGTATGGATAAGATGGAGGTGGCAACTGTGATATTGATGGAGGTGTTGGAGCATCGCCAATCTCCATGTCATCGTCATTGTTATGTGATGATGGTGTGATTTCTCTTTGTTTCTGCTGTGATAATAACGATGATGTAGTGTTGGTAGTGTTGTTTTGATGTGAAGATGAAGTGTTACTTTGTTGTATCGTAGTTAATTTTTGTTTGAGCAGTAATGCATCTACTGATTGTCTTAATTTGGACCCTAAATAGCAGTAAATTTAATGTGTGTTAATGTTTGAAAAATAAATTTGGACTAAAAGGACTAGTTGGTAGATACATACCATCTGGGTCAAATTCAACCACCACATTATTACTACCTATGCGCCGTCCATTTCCTTTTTCGACAGCCCTTCGTGCAGCAGTTCTCGGATTTTCTCCTACGTATGTAATCCTCGCCAAACCTATAAACCCGCCGGTAATCGGATGATTCTCTAATCGTATATCCAGATCTCGACCATATTCTAGGAACATGGCCTTGATCGTGCTTTCTTTCATCACCGGTAGATTAGAGAGGAGGACTGAAGTGGGTGGTGGAGGACCGCGTGAATTTTTATCATACTATTATAGAACGAGTAGAAAAAGAAGTTTCTTGTGAGAAATCTTTATTATCATAATCGTCATTATTGTCGTGACTAATTATAACTAACTAATAGCATATGGTTTTTGTTTACAATAGTTACCAGAAATTCCGTTAATTCCAGTCCCTGCTTTAATTCTTGCCTTAGTCGAGGCTTTCTTTGTGTGGTAGTCAGTCTTGGGTCCGTCAATATAATTGGCGATTCCTGAATGAATTCATTTATTAATTTATTCTCATATGGTTGTAATAAGAAAACAGTATAGACTTACATGAGGCCCCACTTGACCGTTTAAACGGTACACTTTCCTGTTCCCATATTTTCCACTATGATCCACATGTAAGCCAGGGTGAAATATAACCTTAAAATTAACTCCACGTGGCGGTTCCGTATCAGTTTGATACGGTGGTCGTACCGAGGTGTTTGTAGACTGTCGGGATGCTTGCTGTGGTGGTTGTTGCCCATGTGCATTCCTTTTTGTTGAAGTTGAATTCACTGTGTTTGTTGTGGTTGCTGTCGGTGATGGTGTACTAGTAGAATTGGTAGTATTGTTACTAGTACTAATGGTAGGTAACGTTGATGTGGATATATCTACAGAATCGGGGAAATACTCGGATGATGCTGTTGACAAAGATGTTATCAGCGTTGTTGTTGTATTATTGGTGCTATTGCTATTGCTATTTTCATTGATATTTCCATTGATAGTGTTATTGTTTTCGGCAGAAGATAGATTGTTTTCGGTTCTACTGATGTCTTCACTAGTTATCGACTGATCAGCAGAAATTGACGCAGACATTTTTGATATTTTGGTACGCGTAACGAGATGATATGCTTGGGTGAATTATCAAGAAGTGGTAATGGTTAATGTGTTTTTTTTACAGTGAAATGTGTCGATTGATGAGTTATTGTTTTTGGAGATGTATCTTGACCGCTTCTTCTGTAAAGAATAATGGGTGAACAAGGAAGAAAATAGTAGATGGTTAGAAGAAATTTTAGACGTAATTTTCGAAATAAATTCTGAAGAAAGTAACCAAAACGCGTATCGATAGATGAAGAAAAGGATAAGGTATAGATATTTGCGATCTGAAGAAACCCTTTTAGGCAATTGAAGGTAAGAGACCGAGAACATTACACTTCACTAATCTACTGTGAAAAGAATCGAACTAAAATATTTCTCGAGGAGGTTCAATGGTTCACAGAAACAAAGTAGAAAATGAATCTCTAGACTAAAAAAACCCAAGACACGGTAATTATTTCAGGTAGATCCTCTACCACTTCAACAGCCAGCACTAAAGATGGAAGAGAACAAAAAATCCAACCACAGAAATCGGTGACAGAAAAAAGAAAGTGACGCTCAAAGGCTCACATAAAAAGGAAAAAAAAATTGAAGAAAATCATGCAGTCGAGGCAAAACCAAAAACCAAAAAAATAACGATTCATAACTATCAATAATAAATGAAATCAGAAAGCCGACGACAGAGTCGTGTTCATTCTACGTACTTTAGAAGTTTGAGAAGACAGATATAAATGTGTATGTAAGACAAGGTTTCTTTGAGTTAATAACTAGAAATAAAGCAATAGAATTGATTATAGTTAATATTTTTCCGTTTTGCAAGCTGAAAATTCTGAGCGCGGCAAAACCGTCAAAGGTGTATATATTTTATTAATAATAATAAATAAAATAATAAATACCAGTTAGGTAGTTAGAGTTTATGACATGTATGTTACGTTATGTGGGGTTAGATTGACAACCCTCGGAGAAATTTTCATCACCACATGACTATTTAATTATATTGTGGCCAATCAAATATGCGTATTTAATCAATTGCAATTGGAAAAAATTAATTGCAACTACAAAAAATCACAAGAAATTGAAATGTTGAACAGTAAAGAAATTAGGTTCATTTATACCAACTACAGCATAGCTCATCCAGATAATAATAATAGTATTAATGAATGGATGTTTGTCTAGATATTTAAATCGAATCCAGTTTGGCTTTCTCTGATGGAAATCCATTAAACTCTATTTATCATTTCTTTTTTCATTGCATCCCGTCTTTATTAAATATTTAGATCCGCTCGAGCCAAGCACGATCAATTAAATTCTAGCCAATCAAATTTGTCACCAATAGTGATAGATTCGGTAATCCCGATTTTCAACAAATTCTATTTTGCATATTAGATTATAATAACCAGCTTATGTAGCTTTCGAGTTGAGTTCGCGAGCCAGATAGCTTACGGCTCGGTGTTTACAGCGTTATGAGTCTTTCTTTTATCGGATAATTTGGCAAATAAGAGACTATTCACATATTAGAAACTCTAATTTTGTGTATCATCATAATCTATATAATACGTATTTCATTTTTTTTAATATAATGATAACTCGGATCCAATAAAGTCTCATTTGGCCGATATGTATATAAATTCAGAGAAAATAGATATACAGTAGAATAATAAAATTTACTTACTCTTAATAAAAAAAAGTATTATTCTTTATATATTACTTAATTTAAATTTCAAAGTAAATTAAACAAATTTTGATGAAAACAAAAAGATGTGATTTTTATTACCAAGAATTATTATTGAATTTTGGTAACTTGATTATAATATTTTTCTTATATAGTGAACTTTTATTATGTTTTTACAAGTAAACTTGTAAATTAAAAAGTTCAAATTTTTATATAATCAAAACTGAATTAATAATTATATTTTAAATTTTTACTATAATTAATAATTTTTAATTTTAATAATTTTTAATTTTAAGAATTTACAATTATAAAATATAATTCGTTTTTTAATCAAATCTAATTTAGAATAATCAATCAAATATTTATAAAAAAACATAATTATAAAAAGATATATAGTAACTAACAAAATTATAGAATTATATATGTAATTTTATTAAATAAACATAGTAAAAATTGAAAGTTTTGTCTTATATAAAAAATTTTCAATTTTATTAATTTTAATATATTTATATTTTAAATGTAAAAAATTTTTACAACAACTTTGCAATTAGAATAACTTTGTCAAATTAAATTTAAAAAATTCAGAAAAATATATATTAAGATTTTTATTTTAACAAAAAAAATAAAAAATATTTATTAATAAAATTAAAAACTTTTATATAAAACAAAAATTTCAATTTACTAATATATCTATAATGAATTATCAAAAATTCAAAAAAAATAATAAAATTAAAATTATTTTTCTATAATAAAATTTTTGTTTTTATTAAAAAATATTTTTGTTTTTATATTAAAATAAAGACAAAAATCTGTATTTTAATATATGTTTTTTAAATTTAATTTTAAAAATATTTCAAATTATAAAGATAATTATACAAATTTTTTATAATTAAAAATTCAAATTATTAAATTTTAATTATAAAAAATTTATATAACTATTTTTATAATATAAAATATTTCTGAAATTAATTTAAAAAATCTATAAAAAATTTATATTAAAATATAGATTCTTAATATAAAAACAAAAAATATTTATTAATAAAAATAAAAATTTTATTATAAAAAATAATTTTAATTTTATTATACTTTTTTTTGGATTTTTGATAATTTATTATAAATTTTATTAATAAAAAAAATCATATAATTTTGTTAATTATAAAATATTTATCAATAAATTTTTGATTATTTAGATACTTTTGATAATATATTTAATTGTTTTAAAAAAATAAATAAAAATAAAATAATTTTATATTTATAAAATAATACTTAATTATTTATAATTGATTATAATTATATTTTTTATAATTATATCTATTTATAATTATATTTTTTATAATAATTATTAATATATATTTTTATATATTTTTTTAAAAATATTATATAAAATCAAAATCAAAAAAGCTTTATTATTATTATAATTTTTTTATAATTTTATAAAATTTTTTGATATATAAAAATATTTAAAAAAATTATTAAATTTTATATTATTATTGTTTTTTATATATTTTTATAAATTTCAGATATATAATATTATTATAATATAGATTTTTATTAACTATTTTGCAAGATAATTTATACTTAATTATTATTGAATTATAAATATTTTATATTTTATTAAAAGAATTTAATCATATAGAATAAGCAAGTAAATAAGTAAACAAACAAATAAATAAGTAAATAAATAAATAAATGAGTAAATAAATATTGAATTAATAAAATTTAAATTAGCTAGCAAATATAAATTTGTGTATCAGTTAAATTTTTTATAGTTTGGATATGTATAAAAGTAACATATATTATAATTATTAGAATTAAATTATAACAAGTTTTTGATAGTAATAGTTTTAATTATTATTTTATAATTAGTTATTTTTCACTTTTAATCATTCAAAAAAAGTTTAATTTATATATTATAGAATAAATAGTCAAGTACAGCTCTTCTTTATACCTCTTTAATAAAATATATTATATAATTGCTTTAGCATATTTGCTATAAATATTATATAGTTTTTGAATAAAGTATTAATTATTTAAATATATTTGTTATAAATATTATATTATTTAATTATTTAATTTCTAGACTTTTTAAATATATTTGTAATAAAGTCTATTAAAGTTATTATTATTAATTTTGTTTTAATTGTGAATTTATATTTAGATAAAATAATTATTATTATAATTCATAAATCTGTCTTTGAGTCATATTTGTTATAATACAAATATTATAATTTTTATATTTTTAACTTTGAGATTTGAGAACACTTTCTAATTGTTCAGATTATTATATTAAAGAATACAAATTATTATCAATCTTTAATGATTTTGTTACTAGTATTTTAGTATTTAATATATATTTAGTTTAATAATTATAAAATATTATTAATACTTTGAATTATTATTAAGATATTATAATTTTCTTTGAATATTTCTTTAAATATTATAAATATCTTTGAGTATTTTAAAAGTTAACTAAAATAATAATAGTATAATTTAATTAATCAAAAAAAAATAATATAATAATTAAATATTTTATGACTAAAATATTAAAGATAAATAATAAATATTTATTTTGTTAGATAACTAAAATAAATTTAAATCTTTTTTTAATAAAGATAAATATAATTATAGTTAAACTTCTCTATAGTCACACCTTTTTATAGTTATTCTATTTTGCTTTTCTCTCTATAATCACACTCTCTTTATAGTCATCAAATTTTGCTTTCCTGAGAGTAATGGCTATAGAAGAGTTTGATTATATAATTTTAATAATAATTTATAGATATAGTATAACTTATTTATAATAATAATATATTATATATTTAAATTTTATAAGTTTTTTAACTAGAAAATTAATATTTGAATCAATATTCAAATTGATATTTGAACAATAAGAATAAAGATATTAGTCAGGTGATTTCTAGTTAATAGGAAGCTTATCCTCTTTCTTTCACCTGATTTTTTTTGATTGACTAAAAATTTTTTAATTATCTGATTTTGATTTACATCTGATTATTGTTCAGATTCCCTTTTCCCCTAAAAAATCACCTGATTAATGTCTCTATCCTAACTCATTAAATAAAATATAACAATATAATTGTCCAATAAAAATATGAAGAAATATAGAAAATGTCAATTTATAACAATATTAAGAATAAATTATAATTAAAATCCAGATAATTCAATAATTAATTTTCTTATTATCTACAGTGCAGGTCACTTAGTTACCACAATTGGCCAAATCTTTAAGACCTATTAACTCAACAATCTGAACTTTTCC